CTCACACACACACACACACACACACACACACACACTCTCTCTCTCACACGCACACACACACACACACGTCTATCTTCACATCGATTTACAGTATCTGTCACGAGCTCGGATTTACTTATGTCATTTAATATGTAATGATGCATTAATGGCTTTAATGCAGCTTTGTGTTCTGGTAAATTACTTTTAGCTGAGTCACCGAGTTTAATACAACGTGTTTGTGTGAGTGTGTGTGTGAGTGTGTGTGAGTGTGTGTGTGTGTGTGTGTGTGTGTGTGTGTGGGTGTGGGTGTGTGTGAGAGAGAGTGTGTGTGTGTGTGTGTGTGTGTGTGTGTGTGGGTGTGGGTGTGTGTGAGAGAGAGTGTGTGTGTGTGTGTGTGTGTGTGTGTGTGTGGGTGTGGGTGTGTGTGAGAGAGAGTGTGTGTGTGTGTGTGTGTGTGTGTGTGTGTGGGTGTGGGTGTGTGTGAGAGAGAGTGTGTGTGTGTGTGTGTGTGTGTGTGTGTGTGGGTGTGGGTGTGTGTGAGAGAGAGTGTGTGTGTGTGTGTGTGTGTGTGTGTGTGTGGGTGTGGGTGTGTGTGAGAGAGAGTGTGTGTGTGTGTGTGTGTGAGTGTGTGTGTGTGTGTGTGAGTGTGTGAGTGTGTGTGTGTGTGTGTGTGTGTGTGAGAGAGAGTGTGTGTGTGTGGTTATATAACTGCTGATGGATGCTGCTGCTCCGGATATGAGCGAAATCACATCACGTGAGCGCGCGCGAGCGGAGGACACTCACCGAATAACCGTGCGCGCGCCCCGTGCGCTCAATCCGCCGCCGATCGGTGAGTGATCGGAATGCTCGGGCACGCGCGCGATCCGTTAAATGACCTCAACGAGGGCGACCCGCGCGGACACCGGTGCCTCCTCGCTGAGACCCATAATCTCCTTCAGCTCTTGGCACCCGTTCACCTTTAACAGCAGCAGCATCGTCAGATTGTCCTTTAACACATTCACACGCGCACACAGACGCATTGCGCAACGCTTTCCGGTCAACATGAGTGAAATAACCGCGGTGCGCGGCGCGCGCATCACCGGAATAACGCGCCGTTAAACCGAGTGCCTTATATAACACACACACCGGCGGACACTCACCCCAGCTGCTCGCCGTTCTACCGAGCAGCTCGTGCGTCCGCGGGTTCCAGAAGAATTCCTTCCATTCCCCGGTTTCCTTCTTCTCGTCCTCTTTGGCCATGTCTCCGGTGCGCGCCGCCTTGATAACCGCTTGGAGTAAGCGCGATGAAACGGCTCGTGCTGATGGATGCGAGCGGACGCGTTTTCGGGGGTCGGTTTTTCTCGCTCTTCCCGTTTGGTAACCGAGCGGAGTGCCGCAGCGCGCGCACTAATCCAGAGATACTGCGGTAAAAACGCGCTGAGCGCACGCGCACCCGGTCACCCCCCCCCCCCCCCCCCCCCACCCACCACACCCCACCACAGACCCCCCCCCCCCACCCACACCCCCCCTAAAATGTGTTACTCAATAAACTTTTCTTATTATTAGATTTGTTAAAAACTGTTGTGCTGCTTCATATTTTTGTGAAAACTGTTTTTTTCCCATTAATAAATCAAATGAAAAGAACTGGATTAATTTGAAATAGAAATCTTCCACAGAAGAAAGCAATTAATTCTGGTTGGTGTGATTTATTTAGTTATTATCACTTTAACTATAACATTCTGTATTTTTCCTGGTTGGGTACTATTGGTTGATTTCAGATTATGCTTGCGGGGACATTTGGTCCCCACAATGTAGGCAAACCATGACACACACATATTGAGATACACACACACACACACACACACACACATTCCATCAGCAGCTCTCCAGCCAATCGCAGCTCTCTCCTCTCTTCAGGCCACGCCCCCTCTGGTCCAGCGTCGCAGCATCCGCCCGTCGGTCTGTGGCGCTCAGGTGATGCTCGACTTCATGTATTCGCGCTAATCGATCGCATGTTGATCCGCATGTAGGTGTGAGGAGGCGAGCGCGTCTCGCATCTGTCAGTCTCTGTGTTTGTTTCCGCTTCACTGGCTCTCATCGACATTAAAAATGCTGGAACATCATGTACAGACAAAGCAGACGCGCATATATTCATTATGAATATAACAACAGCTCATACGTTTCTGAAGAGAAGAATACAGTGCTGTTTGAAACACCACAAAGCTCATTTACAATGTTACAACAAATTAAACATTACTAAATCATTGTAGATCTAGTTTTGATGTCTAGTAGGCTATTGCATTTAGTCTAAATGTAGGCTATTGTAAGATTGGAAATGTGCTTTCTTGCATATATAATATATATATATATATTGTATAACTATTTCAAAAATACATTCAATTGAGTTTCATTGTTTACAACATATATTTTATACATGTTTACATTTTTTTTTTTGCCGTATGTGAATCATGCATTTGTGTTTATGCATTATATTACATATATTGACAAATTGCTTTTGTAACTTACTTTGTATGTGCTAAATGCATTTCTGCTCAGCACAGGACAAATTCATAAATGTCATTTTACAAGCGTGTTCATATATTCTTGGGTCTGTGCGGGCGATACAGTTTTTCCTCAAGCTCATATTTTTAAACAGTCTTCATATTCTGCAAAGCAATTGTGACAGCTGTTTTATAGGGCATCACATGTGTGTGTGAGTGTGTGCGTGCGTGTGTGTGTGAGTGTGTGTGTGTGTGTGTGCATATTACTAATCAAACATTAAGTTTTGATATATTTACAGTAGGACATTTACAAAATATCTTCATGGAACATGATCTTTAATTAATATCCTAATGATTTTTGGCATAAAAGAGAAATGTATAATTGTGACCCATACAATGTATTGTTGGCTATTGCTACAAATATCCCCCAGCGACTTAACACTGCTTTTGTGCTGCAGGGACACATTTACGACAATTATGCTGCAAATTAATCAACTTCAATAATCACAGTCACAGCCTGACTGCATCTCATTATCATAATATAGCGTTAGTTTTTGTAAAACTACCATTGTCCATTGATGTAAAAAAAAGAAGAAAAAAAACAAGCTGTTATTTTGTGTGCTCTTGGGAGGCCCCTAGTGGCAACAGGGGCCCTAAGCAGCCACTTAGTTCTCTTATGGCTTGCCCAGCTCTGAATAGACAGATAATATTAGTAACTTTCCCCTCATTTCAGTGTCAGACAGAGCATCTGTAGGGAATGTGTAACTGATGAACTCTGATCTCATTATGATGAAACAGCAGACACAGAAACATGTTCAGTTCAGTCGCAGTGAATTCAGAGATCTGAACGTCCGGTTTGATTCTGCACGCAGATATATTCACTTACCACAGTAGCTTCTGTCTCAGTTGCACTCCTCTCAATAGTCAGGTCTTCTTTTTTATTTAAGTAAATAGGGTAAAAATCAGTCCGAGTCTAAGGTGGACTCACACTTGTAAAGTCAGTTACATAAAATGGTAGATTTGTCGAAAGTAAGACTGATTATCTGGTTAACTCTTAGTTGGTCAGTCTTAACATAGTGGCTATGCAGCTTGCCTCAGCCGAGTAAACTTTCACAGTTAACAAAAGTAGGCTATTATTACATTTCTTGATTTTGATTAAATTAATGTTTTGTAGTTTTTTTTTAATGCAGCCAGTTTAACTCATTGAAGACCCTGTCTGTCTACAAATAAAATAAAGAAATCACAAAATTATATTTAAGAATGATTTTAGTTACATTTTAATGAATGTTGTAATGAACTTGAAAAAGTGTTGCAACTGTCCCGAATCTCGCCCTAAACAACCCAACGGTTTTAGGAAACTATTACGTAATAAGTTTGTGCTAAATTTCACATAGAGAAAACTTTACTGGCTCTAAATCTCCATTTGCTTTGCTCAAAGTTGATCTAGACGAGAATATGCAATCCATCTAAAGCTCTGTTGATCCTAAAGCAGTGAAAACTGTATCGCTATGTGTCTCCGAATCAAATGATTCACGATACTATGGTGTTATTTTTCTGCCAAATGTCGAGAGCACATTGTTGTAGTGCAAAAGTACATTCATATAATAAGGACAATCTTTCTGCTCGCATGTGGATTTCCTTTGCTCTCACAAAACCGGACACGTGCTCGATACACGCTGTTCTCGCCTAGATTACGGTTTATAAAGCTTTAAATATGTTTTTTTTTTTTTACACAAATGCATTGCTTTGCTTCAGGAGGCCTTTATTAACCCCGCGGAGTTATGGAGCACCTTTTATGATGGACTGGCCCACTTTATTGGACTTCTATTTGACTATTGAATCTCAACACCCATTCACTTCCATTATAAAGCTTGGAAGAGCCAGGAAGTTTTTAAATATAACTCATGCACAGCTAGGATGGCTTGAGGGTGAGTAAATCATGAGCTAATTTACATTTTTGGGTGAACTATCCCTTTAAGACAGTGGCTTGTCGCCACCTACTGGTTATTTTAATTTCATATTTAAAAGTATCAGTATATTTTTTTTCTATGATTTCAAATTTCTATATTCCAGTTTTTATATTTAAAACGTTAATCTCATAACATTATTTATGCAATTTGTAAGTGCAGTGGATGCGTGCACAAGTGATAGAAATATAAAAATAAAAATAAAATAAGAACTCTGCGTGTTTAAAGAAGCTTATACTTGGCTTAAAGATAGATAGATATATAGATAGATAGATAGATAGATAGATAGACAGATAGACAGATGGATAGACGGATAGACAGACAGACAGACAGACAGATAGACAGA